GATAAAATATAACTCTTCTTACCTCGAAATGAGTATTCGGAGAGAGATTGATGAAGGGTCTTACTAAGCGATACGAGTTTTCTTAGATATCACAAAATAGCCTTAATAGATTAAAAACAAGAGAAATGAATGGAAAAAACAATGTTAAATCAAGAAAAATTTACTAAAAGTTGTTTAGATTTGACATCCAAGTTCAGATTCGAGAAGTGATCAGAGTTTGGAAGGGTTTTATCTAAGAAGAGAGAGTGAGAGTTCGGAGAAAGTTAAGAGAAAACGTAAGGTTTGGAATAAAATGAAATTTTCATACTAGAAATCTCTTAAATACCATTCGGCCCTGTGAGCCCCGACTCGTAGATCCAAATTCAAAAAAACTTGACTTTCTAACATATGTTAAACGCTAAATAAGATTATTTTTAAACATAGAAATAGACTTATATTCTAAAAAAATATTTCAAACTCTACAATAGAAAAGAATAGGTAAGGCAGAGACATATTACGACTATGAAATCAAAACATACGAACATATATAGTATTTGTAGAACTCTATCCATCATAGATTTTAGAAAGTAGAGACCTTTTGAGAAAACTAAAAGATTCACACAAAATCAGAATATTAAATAATGAATTGATTATAGTGTAAAAATAGATCATATAGAGTTAGCAAATTATATTCCTAAAAAGTAAGAAACGAAACTGCCAACATCGCGTTCGTACGTTTTCTTTCCCCCCTAGATGTATGTACCCTTCTCAAATTAAAAAAATAAATGTAATGTGAGAGTCAAACTACGATAACGATGAATTTAATAATTGAAATAGGAGCATGATTTCATAACAAAGAATTAAATATAACTACTTTTTGTGGTTGGTTAGTATGTTCTTTGACTATCCCTTCTTATATGAAGAATCAGTTTGTGTCTCTTAATGTTTCCTTACATTTGACTTTTCCTGTATCTTGTGATAGAAAGACAATGCACTTCTCCGACTCGTACTAGAAATTGGAGATTCTGCAAGAAGAGGGAAAATAATTTAGAATAGAAAATCATAAGGAACCTATAGAAGTGAATCCAACAAACGAATTGAAGAAATTGGCAAATGACAACTGAAGATGAATATCAGAAATGGCAAAAGAGAGTATTGTTACCACAATGGTGCATATGCACAAAATTTATATGATAATTTATCAGAAATTATAGTCTTTATATTTTGTCAGATTTTAATTTTATTTAAAAAATCATTTTAAATCTTGTCTTTAAATTTTATAAATTTAATTCTTGATTTCTTTTATTGACGTGCCATAACAAAAAATTATCATGTAATAAAAAATTTATATGATAATTTTTAATTAACTATATCGTTACTGGAAATTTATACAAAATTTATATGATAATTAAAATTATCGCGTTGACTATTGATACAAGAAATTTAGTCAACACGAATATTAATGCTCACACCTATTGCCTGAAAAGCAATGTGAACATATTCAATCAGTCCAGCCAGCCAGCCAGCCAATGTTTCAGAAAACGAGGGAAAAATCTATTAATTCTGTCGGTCCAATAGTTTCCTTCCAAATAGCCAAGAATTTAAAGAGATTTTATATTATTTTATAACTGAAAATAAAACCCATAAATTATAATTAAAAAGCTTCTAACTATCCGAACAATTTACTAAATTAAAGTATGACTATAACAAAAGATTATTTTAATTATAGTTTTATTTTAAATAAACTTTTAAACAAATTAGTTTGTTACAGCGTAGTATTTCAAAAAGAATGAATTAAATAACTAAAGAATCTCTAAAAATATACTTTTTTAAAAATTAGTCTTTATAAATTTTTTTATAAATTTTATTCCTAATTTTTTAAATAATTTTTAATATTCATTTAAAGTCGTTAAGTGATTACTAAATGTTTCAAGACCAATAATATTGTCAAGTTTGTAAGCTTATAATATATAAAAGAATAAAAACTCATAAAAGAGTAAACGAGATAAACATCACAGATGTTTTTTTTAGTTTACCCTATCTTTCAACGTCTCTTTTTTATAAGAATTTGGTTGAAAACTCAACATGCAAGTTACATTTAGAGACAATCATTACTTTTTTTCATGATGTAAAATGTTTCATGTTAAAGTAAAGTGTGCCTGAAAGCCTTAAACCTAAATATTGTCTGCGAGTTTCTATTTGTTAGGGTATTTTTTTTTTTAATTTTACTTTAGTGTTATTTCTTTGCTCAGGCATGTCCATGAATTGCTCGTCTAAATATGCTTTGTTATGTTTTGTAGTGTTCATAAATCAAGAAGTCTCGTCTTTTATCTCTATTTTCCGTTGTTGATCTATGAGTTTAGGAAGCACATTTTTTAGAAGGTTTTTTAGGAAGAAGTCTCTTATAGAGATTCACCACACTTCTCTACTCTTTGGAAAGGGCTATAGAACCTTCGAAATATCAAAATATGAAAGGAAAAAATCACCTATTTTATATCCTTTGTTCCTTATATAGTTCTTTGTCCCTTAATCCTCAAAGTAGCACAATGACCAATAGTGTGACCCTATTTCCATCATCTTCTATTTGAGACTTTTAACTATTTTTGGATATTGCTTCTCTTTATAGCCTGACCTCATTCTTATTACATGTCTCTATTCTTGAAAAAGTGTCCCTACATATCCTGTCCACATAAGAGTTACTAATATTGGTAATCAAGATATGCTTATCATCTTAGTCTTTACTTAATGGTTTAAAAGTTCATCTTGTCATTTATCACCCTGCTATAAAGACCTTTAACTTCTTAGACATCTCAATATTATAGCACTAGTATCACAAGCACTTGTGGCTTGGATCAGTTACCTTGTGGTTGCACCTCCTTTAATAGGAACATTCTTTGGGCATTACCCTTGCCACCAACACCTATATCTCTTCCAAATCTTTATTCAAATTATTAATGAATCCTATTTCTCTTCGTTCCAATTTTATCCCTAGTATTATATTTCATTCCTAATACTATGCAACAATATTTCACATAATATATGTCACATGAACCCTAAATCTTTGTTTTACATGTAATACTTAGATAAGTAATTAATCTCTAAAATATATATTTTTTTAAATTAATTTCTATTATTAGTTTTTATTTTAGTCCTATATAAATTTAAATTAGATAATTTTTCATTATTATATTAAATAATAAAGTATTTCATTATTTGAAATCTATCAACATGTAATGTTTCAAAGTTTTTTAGTTCTTCTGCTTTTATTACCATAGAAAAATAGTTTATATTCTCTTTGTTCATGATGAAATGGAACATAATAAGAGTAAACCTTTTTACCTCATATATAATGGAGAATCTCTATATAATCTTAGTTGGTGAAAAATAGAAATATGAGTTCAATAGAACATGATGGAGTAAGTCTATCTTATATAATGTAACTTTTTTTAACTATTTTAAAAATTCTCTCTAAAAAATAATATTTTAATTTTAAATCATATTACCTTAACAAGTAGTATTCTTAAGATAAAGATGATGTCTAAATCAAAAACACTGATTTAAGAGATAGTAGTAAAATTTATTTTCAAAAAATTAAAATTTTAAAAGACTAAACTAAAATAAAAGTTTAATAGGGCTAATTTTAAAAATATATTTTTTTAAGAACTAATTGCTTCTTTAAATTTTTTTCACATTTAAAGTTAACATTCTATGTGGTAAGTATTATGTGGAACATTAGTTACTCACTCATTATTTACAACTTTTAAGTAATGATAAAAACTATTTTAAAAAAATAAAATTATGCAAGACTAAAATTAAGTTATTTTATAAGAACTAATTCTAAAAGTAAATATATTTTAAAAACTATTTACTTATTTAAACAAAAAATAATTATCATATGAACAAAAACATCTTTTAGTAATTAAGTGATAATGGTAATTTAAACTATACTCTTAAATAAAAATATATGAATGTCATTACTCATAAAAAATTATACATACAAAAAATATAAATATTTTTATTCAACATTTTCATTACAGTTTATAATAATTTAAATAGTTTAAATTTTTGAACATTCAAGTAGTATTACAATTTATTTAATATTTCTTTTTCTATCACGTAAATTTATCTGTTTCTTCTCTATTATTCTTTTACTTCTAAGGTGAAGTTAATTATTTTAATTTGAAATAAGAAAATATTTCATGTACTGATATATATATATATATATATATATAATATTATTTATATTTTAGATGTATTTTTAAGATATGTATATGAAATTATAGGTGAGATATAACAATAATAATATATGACATTATAAATAATATCAATTTTGAAATTTCAAAACTGAAATGGATTAAAATTGTGATACTGATTTTTTACTTCTTATAAATATTATTTCCTTGAATTTTAGAATTTATAAAATTATTTTTTTAAATCAGTCATTTTTAGTTAGTTTTTTTACTTTATTTTTTTAATTATTTCATATAAAATGATGAAAATAAATATCACTTGATAAAATTATAAATTAAAATAAAATATCATAAAATTAAATAATTTACAGTTATAACTTACAAATCTAAAATAAATATCTACTATATTAAAATATCTACATAAATAGGCATAATGTCATATCAGCTCGGTTCCAGCGCACGGGAGAAACTTACGCTGATTTAGATTTATCAGTGTTAAATTTAAACACTAATATTATTTAATAATTTTTTATAAAATATAAAATTAATTAATTAAATTGTTAGTTTAAAATAATATATTAAATTATTTTATTTTAATAAATAATATACTTTAAATATAAAAAGTATTAAACTTTAAATGACATAAAATTACGTAAAATTTAAAATATATAACAATGATAGAAAATAATTCAATAATCTTATAAAAATTTAATAATCAGTGTATTCAAGTTTAATAAGAGAATGGATCGTAACCCATTTATACCGTTATACGCATATTTCCTCAGTATCGAACCTTAATATAAACTCAAGTGAAGAGAGCGGAGGAAAGAGACAACCACCATGAAAAGGATAGCCATAGCTACCATTCTCATTTTTCTAGAAACTTGCTATGCTTTGCCTATCCACCATTGTCATGTTTCCTCTTGCGGCAACATTGCCAACATAAGTTACCCCTTTCGACTCAAAAGTGATCCACTTGGCTGCGGCGACAAGAGATACGAATTGGATTGTGAGAACAACGCCACAGTTCTGACTCTATTTTCCGGAAAATACAATGTGCAACAAATCGATTACAAAAGGTACAAAATCCGAGTGAGTGATGCGGGTGTTGTGGAGGACGCTACTTGTTCCTTCATGCCTCAATATTTCTTATATTCTGCAAATTTCACTCAATTTATCATTGGTCCGGGGCCCGATCCGCTGAAGTTGGACCAAAATCTTGTTTCAATCGCATACTTCAATTGCACGAATCGAATCACAGATGATTCTAGATATGTTGAAGTGGACACCACTGGCTGTGGCTTTGGAGGACACATGTACGCTGTGGTGAAAGATTCGTCAAATGGTTTTGGTGTGAAGGACATCAAGGTTGGGTGCGAAATGAAGGTGGCTACTCTGGCAAATTGGGGAACGATGCAACACCACAAGACCCACAGAAACGTTTCCCTTGTTGATATCCGCAATGTGCTATCTCGTGGTTTTGGGCTCTCTTGGTTAAATGTTATCTGTGAAGATCTCTGTGGTGAAGGGAAGGATTGTCGAGTTGTGAACGAGTCCACCGGTGAAGTCCAATGCGATGCCCTCCTCCAAGACTGTCGCTATTTCTACACCGCAGACCAAGTCACATACGACTGCGGTAAATTCATTTACATTTCAATGCATTTTTTTTGCTTTCTTTTTCCCTTTATCCTACGATTAAAGAGTAATTCCTTTCACGGCATTTAGTTTATAAAATTGTATTAAGAGTATTATTTTAAAATTTTAAATATTTTTATTAAAATTTATGTTAATACTAAAGTTATAAAAAATAATAAATTAGTAATGCTTTCTAACAAAAAAATTGTACACATAAACATATCTTGTACACTAGCAGCAAAAATAAGTTATCAGAGATGATCCTTTCTTTATTCGGGAAAGAGAGTAAAACACCAAGAATTTTGACTTCACGTGCCTTAGTTACAATCTTTTCTTTTTATACTTCCTGATGTTTTTTTAATCCTTGTTTATAATATTCAACTGCATGTATGACTCTAAAATTACCTACGACAAAAGCTATGAAATGTGACCATTACTAATCCATCAGTAACGGTATCATTGTTTCTGTGATTTGAGTTTACTCCAATTTTATTTAATTTAATTTGGTTTGATATTTATATATAAATTATTTCAAGCATTTTGAACCAAACCAATTCTAGACTTTTTACTAAAAACTACATTTTAAAAATTTATTTATCAAAATAAATTACCTTCTGGTATTAAAGGATTCGACAAAATTACCTAAAAATAATTTAATGTAAAAAAAAATTTGTTTTAATTCGCTAAATTTCATTTCAATATTTCAGGTCGCGCAGGGTTGGACGTATTCAGCATTATATGTAAGGATTCCGTCTTTTCATTTCATTTGTTTCTTTACATTTTCGGGATGTCTTTACTTGTTTTTATGAGATAGAATAAATTAATTTAGATTATATAATCATACACTAAAAATAATTAAAACTAAAATTAAATATATTATTTCACTTAAGTTTTAATTTGATTATTTGCATATGTTGAATGTCTTAAATTTATAATTCTCATTGAGAAAGACCTAAAAATAAAAATTTGTGAAAATATAAGATACCAAAATAAATTTTTTAAAGAAACAAAAATAAAATAAAAATTATTAAAATTTGAGAACTAAAAACATATTTAAGGCTTTAAAATAATAATTATTCATACTAGATACATTTCTAATATATCTAATAAGAATTTTTTTAAAATTGTAAAAATTATAAATTAAAACTGTATAATTAGACATCAATAGTTAAGAATAAAAGTGAGTTAAATTGTCATTTGATCACGTAAAAAAGTTGTGATTTATTTTAAAATTTGACAATTTAAATAAGGTTTATAGTTTATATTGTTATTCTCATTGTCAAAATAAGGGTTATTGCTCGACATGAACACACTCACAAGGGGCATATCTAATGAGATGACTTTCTTAACATGAGAGTTCAGATGAATATGAATCTTAATTATATAGCTGTATATGGATGGTTAAGTTCAATTTCTTTTATGGTTACATTATCCGTTTAAAATGTCTATTAACTTGTATTTAAATTTATTTTATTAATGATTAGATACAATAATTAATATTTGTCTCTCTCATCCTCGAATTAAAATACTTTTCAATATTTAGTGCACATCCTATATATATAAGGAGGTAATAAGAAGGTTTTTTAATACGAGAGTTAAGAAGGATAAATTTTGACTGTACAATTTAATACATTCGCTGTGTATGAACTATGAAATGATATACCCTTTCTAATACATGGGGGAAGGAGTAGAGGTATATGGTAGGTTTTCTTTCTTTCTTTCTTTTTTTATCTCTCATTCCATTTTATTTCAAAAATCTCTTTACGATTTGTTGACTTCGATAAGTCTTCGTGCAGGTTTATTTTGCATCGGTGTTTATAAAGGTAATAGTTTACTCTATATTGATGCCACATGTTTTATTTTCTATAATGAAATTTGAACATATTATATCATTTAATCTGTTTTTTATTTAGTCAAGATTAATCTCAGTACAATCCACAAGCATATGAAAATATATATAAAAAATAAATCTGTTTCATCTAGTTTTTCTTAATCTCTTACTCTATTTTATCAAATTAAAAAGTGTACGTAATAAATTTTATTATAATTTGAAATTTAGATACTTACAACTGTTTTACAATAGTCGATTTTAATTGATATATAATTGGACTTGTAATTTTTAAGTCTTGTGGTTATAATTTGAATAAATTTAATCATCCGAATAATCATAGTCAGTTTTGGGGTGTTATATATGGCGCAGGACTTGTGAAGATTTTTGGTTTGAATAAAGCTGTGGGGTACGATGAAATTGAAGTTGAAATAGGAAAAGACACCGGAAGGTATGTCCTACCATACTTTATAGTCAGATTTTTTATTGGAGTTGTTGCTTTCATCGCACTGTTGATCTATAAATGGGCAAGGAGGCACACATCAAACTACGAAAATATTGAAGATTTTCTGCAAGGAAATGCCCTCATGCCGATTAGGTACTCTTACAAAAAAATAAAGCATATGACTAAGAGTTTCAAAGAAAAGTTGGGTCAAGGAGGATTTGGCGAGGTGTATAAAGGAAAGTTAAGGAGTGGATTATTTGTAGCGGTTAAAATGTTGAGAAAATCAAAGGCTAATGGACAAGAATTCATTAGTGAAGTTGCAACTATAGGAAGAATACACCATAACAATGTTGTGCGACTTATTGGATTTAGTGTTGAAGCATCAACCTGTGCTCTAATTTATGAGTTCATGTCTAATGGTTCTCTTGATAAATATATTTTCTCTAAGACAAATGATATCTCTTTAACTTATAAGCAAATTTATGAGATATCTTTTGGAGTAGCTCGTGGTATTGCTTATTTACATCAAGGCTGTGACAGGCAAATTTTGCATTTTGACATCAAACCACATAACATCCTTCTTGATGAGAACTTTATACCAAAAATTTCTGACTTTGGCCTTGCAAAGCTTTACCCTATAAACAAAAGCATTGTCACTTTAACTGCAGCTCGGGGAACAATTGGATACATGGCTCCTGAGTTATTCTACCACAATATTGGAGGAATATCATATAAGGCTGATGTTTATAGCTTTGGTATGCTTTTGATGGAAATGGCAAGCAAAAGAAAAAACTTGAATAAACATGCAGAAAATTCAAGTGAACTTTTCTTTCCCTTGTGGATATATGATCAACTGAATGGAGAAGTTGAGATACAAATAGAAGATATTACTAAGGAGGCAAATAACGAGGTAAAGAAGATGTTCTTAGTTGCATTATGGTGTATACAGTTAAAACCATGTGATCGTCCTTCAATGAACAAAGTAGTAGAAATGTTAGAAGGAGAACTCGAGAACATTGAAATGCCTCCAAAACCTTCTCTATATCCACATGAAATGATTCAAGAGAATCTAGGAAATAGCTCAAGCCAAACTTTATCAGATGATTCTAATGGCTCTACAAGTTATCTTGAAGAAAAAAGTATGTACTATTCATAATATATTGAAGTGTTCTATATGATAATTGTAATAATTAGTTGTAAACTCATGTAACACATCAAGCAATTCTTTTAATAACAAAACAACAAATTATCTTTTTATTTTTTAGGTAAATCATATTCACATGGTGAAAAACAAAAAGCACAGTTCATTAGTTTTAATAAATTTTTATATAGTGTATATTCTATTATTTGAAAACATTAAAATGAAAAGAATTACAACTTGTTAATTTATTGCCAAAAGCTTTGAATAATATAACTGTTGAATATGTAAATAGTCTGATTTATTAAATACATGTTTATACTAATTTTTCCTATAAAAATGAAAAATATAATAAACCAAAAAGGTATTTATTATACTAATTATAGACCTCTTTTTATTTTTTCAATAAATTTCAAGTTCTTGATTTGCTTTTACGTTCCTTGCTAGCCATTCTACATTTTCTTCTCATTCATTTTCTCTAGCTCATATAAATAACCAAAGTGTTTACCAAAATTTCATCCAATAAACCATAAGAACTATTTGTGAAAAGGATAACACAAACACAAAATAATAGAAGTTAAATTAAGTTTTTAAAGACAAATTTTTAACAAGTGTGTAATGAGAGGTTAACTTGGTAGGTTCTTAAAACACTTTTAAATGAAAATTTTGATAACAACTAAAGATTCGCAATTCAACCTTCCGTCAATTAGTAATAAAATAGTTAGGAAAGAAGGTTATGTACGTGTCATCGTTAAAATATCCTACTTTATCTCCACGATATTAAGGTTATATCTAGTCATTAATTTATAATGACATTAATTTACTCTTATTATTTCTTAATTAATTTTGTACAAGCTTTACTAACCTTAAAAAAATTTAGTATTCTTGTAACACCTTAATTTAATAACATCATATTTTTCCAAATAAATTAATTTTCACAATAAATAGAAATAATAATAATTTTATTCAAATGATTTCCAATATATAGTTTCATTAAAATATTTCAAAATGAGGGAATGTTACAAATTTGCATCAAAATAAACGCTATAGGACTAATTTAATTACATCACAATTTTTAAAACTAATTTCTTAAGTTCTATAGCAATTTCATCCCTCCCGTTCACTGAGTCTGGTACTGATCGTTTTGATCACCTGAAAAATAAATGTAAAGGTGAGTACTCTACACTATCACACACTCACAAGCATAGAAACTCACCTTTCATATTCCGCATATTTCTAACATAATTCAAATTAGGCATCAACAACATATATTCACGCTTTTCAAACATTCTAAACATTTCACACACACGTGCGCTCACTGCACGTTAGCCACGGTCACTATGATCACAGTTTCTTGATGCCCTCAACCTCAAGGACTTAATCAGTTTCACACCATAGATGGTCGCTGGTTAACCCCCGCTTCACGGATACAATGTGTGTGGTCATGGATCCTTTAACAAAGGTATTAGTCAGAGGCTGAGTCAAGAAGAAAGTATGTGGCCTGTCGTACACCCACGCTCACTGTTGGTGTCACGCTCACCCTCTTTTCCTCAAAGTATTTCTACCGCCTCCATCTTTCACAACCCTAGTTTATCGTTGTAACCATTTATAGTTTCCAACATTTCAAACACAACCACAATCACACTTAACATGACATTCACACATATTCTCACCTATTTTCTATTATTCATCATCAATCAATGGCATGTCAACACATACATTCACCCACATTTTCTATCACATCATAGTTTTCATCTTTACACATTACATGTACACACATAATCAGTCACATTACACTGAAATACACCACAATTCCATCACAATTTTATGTCAATCGAATCCATTCCATCACACACATCACCCAATAATTACTATATCATACTTCATATGAATTTCCATTAAAAACACACATTTTCCTACATTCTACCTCAATTACATTTCATTATCTAACATTATAATGAATTTCAAAATTAAAGAGATAGGGTAAAGTCTCCCTTTACTTTGAATTAAAGTTCCAACACGAAATAATGGTAGAAAACGTCTCCCACGCAGTATTTCATTCTAAACACATGAAAAACTCCATTAGAAACTGAAAAAAACAAAGAAGAGGGACGAAAAACTGAAATCCTAACTTATAAGACTTACCTCCAAGCGTCTTAAACACGATCTCAATCTTTAATCTTGCATCCAACTACTATGGAGGTAATTCAATCGGTGAAAATGGGTTGGTGGTCGAGAGAATCGAAGAAGGGATGAAGAGAAAGAGTGAGAAATGAGTTTTCCAAACTCTAAACCCCTCAAATACCCTAGAGTCGCGATATTCTCGCTATAGCGAGACAACTCTCGCTGCAGCGAGACATCTCTTGCTACAATGAGGCTCCTTTTTACTACAACAAAAATATCAGACCAAACCACTCTGGTTTCTGCATAATCTTGCTACAGTGAGATTGTACCCAGAAAATGCACCTCCTCTATTGCCTTCTCGATGCAGCGAGAACGCAATAGATGCACGCTCCTTGCTCAAGGCCTTCTTGCTACAGCGAGAATGCCCCTGCAATACACATCTAGCCTATTTCTCAATCAATCTAGCTTAACCACAAGTCAATATTCACATTTACACTTACATACTTATCCATATATATATATATATATATATATATATATATATATATTCATAAGCACATATCTACCTCACCATATAAATAAAAATGCACATTCAAATGAAATTTACAATTTATATTAATAATTATAATATTATTATAAAATTCGAGGTGTTACAATTCTTATTCAAACTTTGGCAACTTCACCTTCCAAAAATATACCAGAAGTAACATTTAATGTTACATGAAAATATGTAGGAAATGCTCCATGATAACTAACTAATGGTATGATAAAAAAGGATTTTGTTAAGATGTAAAGGTAGCCAACTGCAGTACTAAGATGAAAGAAATGAGTTGCAATCATATTAAGTGAATAGAAAAAAATTTCATATCAATTTTGAGAAGTATACAAAGCCAACAAATAGAAGGGTTTGATAACAATTATCTAACCAAGAGTTACAACTAATTAGATAGCCATTATAAACTTTTACACCTCAAAAGGTGTGTGGGTGGGTAAGGACTAGTACCATTTACCTTATTTTTGTACATGTAATGTTGAAATGTGATAGATTTATAATTCTTAATATTGTATCTTATTGCCAACAAAGTGTAAGTGTAGTTTGAAATGTTTAATCTAAGTAGAGAATATGAATTGAAGGATGAAATATTACACTAAGGTTATCATGGTAAATTGTAGGAGAATAAAGTATAAGTAAATTGATTTATGTCATCAGATCTTTTATTTAGAGTCATTTAGCAACTATTATTACTCAACTCTTTGTATTCAACTTTAATGCTACCTTGGTCATTTATTTTTTCTAAGACTAATAGACTAAATTTTTGCCAATATAGATGATGAAATCATAATTAGACTATAGTTTCATTTGAATTTAACTTTTTATAGAAGTTATTTACTCCTAAGTTTTTAGAAAAAAAATTAATTTTCAATACTTTAATTTAGATATAAACTTTGGAATTTTTAATGTAATTTACTTTAAATTACATGATAATTAAACTAATTCATTTATTTTTTATTCTTTATAAAATCATTGGAAGGGGTTAAAACTATAAAAAGTCAAGTAATATGAAGCTAAAAATACAAGCTTTTTAAAATGGGCATTGCAACACCTAGAAGATGAAAATATCTTATTGTTGCCAACTTATTGGCATCAAAATGCTAGGGTAGGTGTTTTGACGCCTATAATTCTATAGCAGCATGCATGGTTCTGCATCAAAACACCAAGGGTCAACATTTTGACGTTAAAGACTTGAAGAATTTTTCGTTCTTTGACTTTTATGCGTAAAAACATTAATAATAATATTTCAATACTGAATATGCCTCTAAAATTTATAAGTAGATGTCATGAGAGCTAATTTTAGAAAGAATTTGTATTTTGAGTTAAATATTTTTAATTATACAATTTTGCAGCTCCTTTTCTTCTATTCTCTCTCTCTTTTTCTTTTAGATTTCTTTTTCTTATGGATTGATGAATCTGATTTTGATATTGTAAATTGATTGTGGATCTGAATTTTAAAATCTTAATTGTATTGAACGTTTAATTATTTCCGTAATATAATTCTTGAATTAGCTATTCAATTGAATTGAACCTAGAGGATTTTCATCAATGAAAGTTGAATTAATTTCTCAGATCTGAATTGAATGTCAAGGTTATGGATGTCTTAAGGATAAGAATTGGTGATCTTGTGATTTCTTAATTTCTTATACTTAATGCAATGTTTGATTGATTTACACCTAAGGAATTAGGGTAGTTAATTGAATATTAGGATCATTGAGGCAAGGGATTGTCCTTTGATTAAATAAGTGAAATTGATCATCAATCAATTAAGAAACTTAGAGTTCAGATCTATTTCAATTTTGCAGTTGATAAAGAGGTGAAATCAGTCTTAACTCCATTCATACATCAATTCATTTCTAAATTCGTCACTCTATTTTGCTGTTATTTTTTAATTTCTACACTTTATTGCTTTTATTTGCAAATGCTCAAAACACTCCAAAATTCATTTAGCTCAACTAATTATTGATTTGTGAAGTGGTAATTGATAAAACTAATACCTGAGGATAATACTTGGGACTCAAATGAATTTTAAAGTTTATTACTTGCTACAACTACCTAGTACACTTGTTAGTTAGTATTCTCTCAGCTTTGTAACAGCAACACACTTTACAAAAAAATTGTGGTGTATTCTGTAAGTCTGATCAATAGGTACATAGAACATTCCACAGAAATGCATCTATTTGCTTCCAAAAGGATTCTTCACTACTTGTAAGGAACCAAAGATTTTGGATTGTTTTGTTCTACAAGAAAGCTAAAAAGTCAAATTTGTTAGGGGTTCACTGACAACAATTATGTAGGAAATCAAGATGATAAGAGAAACACTTCGGGGTGTGTTTTTACG